CACCCACACACCCCCCCCAACCAACCCACCACCCCACAAACACACCCACCCCCCCCCCCCCCCCCACACACACACACACAAAAAAAACTCACCGCAAAAGGCCTCCAAAATTTAGCCTGCGACCGTGCAAAGCTCTCCAAAATTACGATCTGTCCTCTTTACATTGAACGCAATCACGTATGTTAAGATGCACTATGTAAGACTTAAGATTATTGTGATTTTTCACTCACTGCAGATATCCTTACATATACAAACTCTCCTGGATTATCTGGCAGTTTCCCGGATATGGCGCCGATCTCCCGATCTCTCTTACGGATAACCAGCCAAGATAAAATCGCCTTCTGACTACAGAGCTTTTCTGTCCTTTAGTTTGGAATTTTGCACATTTGTTCTCCGAAATTAAAAAAATGTTTTCGATTCATAGTATAGTTTCAAGGACACTTTTTGACCTATTTTATCACTGTCAATAATTATCTTGTTATTACATAGAAGCAAATTTTGATGATCTGCACTTCACGCACACTTTACATAACATCTACAACGCACTCATGTTACAAATTGGGGACTTTGTTGATTTGTGTTTAGCAGAGGATGGGGGGTGGTTTGGTCGAATGTTAATAGACTCTGTATCTCTGAAGTCTTGACAAGTTCTAAATGTTGCCCTATTTTTTGTTTCACTGACAACGTTTCACTCTCCTGAAAAGTCAACAGTGACTTTGCATGGTTGGCCCATCTTATGCTCCATGCTGGGATGATGTTCAAAGTCATAGTCAATGTGAACAAAGGCTCTTTCAACCTCAGAGTGGCTTTCCAGTTTGTTTTGAAGTGACTCGCCAATGTCATGTGCTTCGCATAGGTTCATATCAGAGGGTAAGACAATATGTGCCTCTACAAGGATATTATACCCAAAATGATAGGCTCTTAACGTGTCAATAAACTGAATTCTTGGATCGTGGGTCATACAAACCCACAGCAGTTTCTGTAGTATTAGCGGGCATGCAGCGTGTCCTGTTAAGTCACGGATTTGTTGCCTTCCAGTTCTATACCAGCCCAAAAATATGTAAATGCTTATTAAGATGGCACCTAATGGATCAGCATTCCTCCATACTTTGAACCCAAGAAACCCAAATCCTAAAGCAACAGCATTAGACAATACATCATTTCTGTGGTCCTGTGCCAACACATTAGTGGAAGGACTTTTAATATGTCGGCAGTACAGAAACAAAAGCATTTTGATTACAACTGTCACGGCAATGATAGCAATTGTGCCAGTAGTTATATCAGGATTAGCAGAGTTTTCTATTATCTTTGTAACCGATGTGATTATAACTTGTATAGAGGCCACTGCCATGATGACTGCCAACACTATTATACTGATAGGCTCCAGACGTGTTTTTCCTTCAGGATACTCGTAGTAGTTAGTGCATTTGATGGCATGAGATGTGTAGCAAACAACCAAACCAGACATCAGGTCAACAGCACTGTCTACTAAGCTGGAAATGATTGACATTGAACCAGACAAATGTGTCGCAACTGCTTTGCAAACAAGTAATCCAATGTTACATAACAAGCTCAGTCTTACAGCAACAGATATGTTCAACTCCTTGCCATCTTCTGAAGCCATGCTTCTTCTTCGTAATTCTTGAGTATCAATTTGCTCAAGGGTGGATTTAGTCTGTTCCATTTGTTTGTAGTATCTTCTAACATTCTTCTCTGCTGTAGACAGCCTTTTGTCTTTTACTGACTTTATAAAACAACAAATTTGGTTTGACAGTCGTGTTTCTTTTTCATCAGATATGGTGTCATTTTGTGGGGCAATTTCCTCCATGGTGACCATTGAGGATGTCGGAGAAGGTTTTGGCTCTATGTGTACGTCAAGTGAAGATCGCAGACAAGGTTGCATTTCAAGTACTTGATCAACATTCCTACTATGAATTTGGTCCTCCATTCTGAATCAGGAATTGGCAAGTGGTAATCTAGAGAAGAAATAAAAATACTGTCAGCTTTATGAACTTACTCCAAACATGAGTACAGGTCATTTTCCACATTTCGTGTGTTTTTTATTTGTGGTTTGTTTAGTATGAGATAGGGCCACATGAAAGCTGAGCCAAGTTAAACAAGAAAATTAGGAGAGAGGAAGCAAGGGGAACAAAGCAGAGAAAAAATCAATGCGAGAAATGGCTTTACCATTTGAATTTAACCATCCCTGGGCAAAGTTAGTGAAAAATACTTTTGAAGGCGACTTTTTGGCACAGACTGTAATCGATTCATTGCTAGAACCCCTGCTAGAGACACCTGGAAGTACGTGGTATAACAATAACCCATGTTCATAACGTAATTTATCGGCAACGTTCTTCCTTTGTAATGTTACTGAAAATTTAAAATGTCCCAGCTTTACTGACAATCATGATACTCATAGCGTACAATGTGTATATGTTGCAGTTAAATTTTTATCTCAGGTAATTTTTATTTTTCATTTGTTTTTAGGTATGGTAGTGTATGCTAATCAAGTTTAAACAAAGGAAAAATAAAAATTATCTGTGATAAAAAATTAACAGTTCTACAACATGTACACCACCAACAGAACTGATAGCATCAGCAGCAAATGTGAGTATGACAACCTTGTTCCCAGGATTCTTTCATTAGGCTGCCTGATTAAAATGCTTCAGCAACAATGACAATATGTTGTATTCATATTGGAAAATTTTCAAAGTGAGCTGAACTTAATGAAAGAGTGACACATTTGCAAATGGATTTGCAAGTTACCATCCCTGGTGAAAATCTTTGCAGGATCTTTCAGGGGCACCCAACGAGAATATAGTTTAAAACCACTTACACATAGCATTGTCAAATGTATTTTAGTATTACATTTAAAGTGCCTATCACCTAAAATTTTTTATTTTCCTATCTGAAACTACACCTTATTAAAATAACTTCTGGAAAAAATTTTGCGATTTGAACCAAAGATGATTTTTTCAGAATTTTTTAAAAATGTTCAAATTTGCCGCCATTTTGGCACACCATTCATCTTAGTCTTCTTTCGGGGTATGACGTACTTTAAGGAACACGTGACTTTATAGACAGGAAAACATTTAAAGTTCTGGTAAGTTTTTCTGTTTCAGAAAAATTTTCTTCTTGCGAAGACATTGTGATTCAGTCCTTACTTGTTATTGATCTTTTTTGTGTACAGCTGGTGAAGGAAAGGTAATGCGAGTTCCTTAATTTACGTCACATGACGTCATATATGAGTCTGCTAGTTTGTGTGATCAGCGGCGCGGGTGTACCGCAAAAATGTGGACTTCAAAAATTGGTTAAAAAATCACGTTTTGTTGAAATGGCAAAATTTTTTTCGCAGAAGTTATTTTAATAAGGTATAGTTTCAGATAAGAAAATATAAAATTTTAGGCGATGGGCACTTTAAATGGTAGATATAGACATATTTTTATTCCCTAAAAATTTTTCATATGTTCAGATTTTCCAGCTAAAAGTTTAGTGATCCGAAAATTTTAGGGATCAAAACTTACCTTTTCCAAAACTTCAGCCAGAAAAAAGGCTCCCAAAAGTTCTAGGTGACCCTTTTAGAGTAAAAATCCGCTAAAAATGGGCGATTAAACCATTTTTTAGATGTTCGAAAATCCTAGGAGAGGCAGGCAAGCAAGAAATTTTACAACAAATTTAATGTTCCAAAAAATTCTAGATCTCAAATCATCTTCCAAACAGATATTTTCCAAAAATTTTTGTTGGGTGCCCCTGATCTTTGTGGATCTGCAAAGATACTACAAAGATCCTCAAAGACAAAATCTTCAAAGGATCCTCAAAGATTTCATGAGGATCTTCTAACAATCTTAAGATAATCTTGGCAAAGATCCTTGCAAAGATCTTTTTAAGGTTCCTTAAGGATCCTCAAAGATTTGGTAAGGATCCTTTCAAGGATCTTAAACAGATCTTTGTCAGGATCCTCAAGGATACTTGAGAATATTGCAAGGATCTTTAAAGTATCTATACAAGGATCTTTGGAAGATCTTTGTCAGGATCCTTAAGGGTATTGATCTTTACATAAAGATCTTTGAAAGATCTTCAGAGGGATCCTTACAAAATTGACAGGGATCTTAAAAGGATCTTTTTTAAAACCTTGAAAAAATCCTTGACATGATCCTTCAAGGATCTTCTAAGAAATTGTGGGGATCATACAAGGATCTTTCAAAGGTCACTGTCTGGATCTCCTTCTAATAAACCTCAAAGGATACCACAAACAAACAGTTGTTAGACCTTTCTGATTTCCAAAAGAATGTTTCTCACCTCAGGAAATGCTAAAAACTTTTTACCTGTAATTTCACAAACATTTAGAAGATGTAGAACAAAAGTGAAATTTTTAGCAGATTGTAGTTGTTCTAGTGGTAATATTTTATTAAATAATTAAGTTATTTTAACATTTTAATTTTCATCGCGAGCTGCTGTAGTAACACCCACATATGAGAACCTAGTGTTTTTGAAGTCTGGCAAAATAGGTTGTTATATTTTGGGGTACTTGTCGGCAGTTTAGGATAAGAAGATTCTTAATTAGATTCTTTTTAGAACCCAATTAAAATTTCATAAACGATATATAGTAAGTTGTGGACTATTTGTGAGGATCATGCAAAGATCTGCGAGGATCTTGCAAAGATTTGTGAGGATATGACAAAGATCTGTGAGGATCTTGCAAAGATTTGTGTACTGAGGATATGGCAAAGATCCGTGAGTTTGGTGCAAAGATCAGTGAGGATCGCTCCAAGATCTCTGAGAGTCCTGCCAAAAAACTTTAAGCATCTTCAAGGATCTTGCTAAGATCTCTGAGGATTTTCAATAATGGTCCTCAAAGATCTGCACTAGGATCTTCATGCAAATCTTCAAGCATCTTCAAACAGACTTGAAAGATTTTCAATAACCTGTGAGATAATCAGGTATTCACGTATTGTTAAAAAGAGCTACTTTTAGGTTCAGTTTCAGACGAAACATTTGGGGACATACCCTTCATCATCTGTAGCAAATGTTAATTACAGCTGTCAGTAAGCAAGAAATATGTTAAACTAAGGGTGGATTTTAGCCTGCGTAGCATGGCAGTTTCGTTGGCCGCACTACTGAACGGTGAAGCCGCGATGAAAATAACAACCACCTGCCCAGATTCATGGCCTTTTCAACTGCCACCCCCTTTAACTGATTTTGACATCTAGACTAAGAGTAGTCCCCCATTTTTCCGCAGGGATAGTAGAGAGAGCGAAACGCGAGCGCGCATGAAAATCACCCCCGCGAGAAAAGGCACGGGGAGAGAGAAAAATGAGGGACTACAGACAAAGCCTAAGCTTTTGAACTAATGCATTGCTCTCACAACGCAAAACTCTGATTGGCTCTTCCATGGAAATCTGTCAACATCTGTCAAAAATGCGCCAGCCGCTATCAACACTCGACATAATCACAATTTACAGGACAAAAAACTAGACAAGAACAAATAACAGCACAGAACAAAGAACTAGATTTCCTCTTGTAGAAACAACTAAGCAGAAATCCAACCCGGCAACTGATGAGGTTCGCGCGGAGAACCGAAGCCATGGTCTTGCCTGATCACAAAGTGGGAATAATAGAACAGTCGCAAGGGTGTTAAGCTAATTCAAAAGTTATCACCAAGGAGGGGGGCGTAAGGGTTTGCGGTGATGTGGTTTTGCGTTATTTTTGGTACGGTTTTGCGGTAATTTTTATTTTAACTTGCGGTATTGCGGTTTCAAAACACTAAGCGGTTTGCCGTTATTACAACCTGTAAGTCGCGGTTTTCGGTGAAAAAAAAGCGTCTCCGGTGATAACACTGTTTAGAACGGTCGGCATCCAGTTGTTTTGCAAGCGCGAGCCAAGTGTTTTGTTTTACAACGCATCAGGGTTCATTATATCAGCTTACAATTTAACTCTGTGGTTTGCCACTACGGCCTTTTCTTGTTAATACTTAATGTGATTAATCGGTTTGGCCAATGATGCGTCGACTCGTACAGCTGTACCACTTCGTGTTCTCGTTGCTTTGATTTAATGCGCGACAATGGCAACTGAGGTCGTCGAGGTCGCCACTGAAAGCGAAGAGGACGTAGTAATTTATTGCGTGGCAATCTTCTATTAAGAAGGAAAGTAAAGGGAGAATTTCAGAAGAGCTGTACGTTTTAACAATCATCTTCTCCACTGAACGTGAACTCTTTACGAGACAAGAAGGTCACAGTTCCAGAAGAAACATTTATGCCGCGTTCCACAACTAGCACAGGGTCATCCAAAGTAATCAGTCACCCAATATTAGACACGTACAGGATCAGTGACAGAGTTTTTCAAAGTCAAGGGAGATATCCATACTCGTTCAAGTACATGACCAGCATACTTGGCATTTGGTTAGTAGTAAATAGAGTATAATAGTATAGTACAATATATCGTTAGCGTTATGATGGTATGTTTAATACTAACGGCCAATGTTATCAGAATATATCACAGGTCTTGCTGACGTCAGCTTTCGTATTGTGGCCTACATGTACGCGCGGTTTCGGTATTCGGGAAAAAATCTGATGCGGTTTTCGGTTTTTTGGCGTATTTCTGTGCGGTTTTGCGGTTTTCAGACCCCCCTTACGCCCCCCTCACCAAGGGAGGAACTACGTGCTCCAGTCTAAAGACTTACATTATCTCCAGAAAAACAAGTGGCAGTTAAAATTCATGAGCAGTCATGACTGAGTCACATTGCAATTCTCCATAGTTAATGTAGTTTTAGTTTAAGCTGCAATCCATTCTTGCGCGATTTGGATATTACTATCTGTCCTGCTAAAAACGCTAACGAGCTGGGCCCAGCGTGACAAAACATTGCAGGAAACCACGGTCACATTCACGGCCAACGAGAAAATCGCTTAAAAATATTCAGATCCAGGAGGCAATCGCCGGAGAAATTAAACAACCCAAAACCCTTATTTAGCCGCATTGAAGAGCTTTACTTTTCAAAAGAGGTCAAAGAAAATGCTCTTGCATCGGAGGGCAAATCATGCTGACCATAAACAATAACCGCAGAAAATTAACATGCGTGTCACAAGCTCTCAGTACAAAATAAGCGGCAAAAATCACATCCAGAGCATAATCTACCCATCAGAAAAAAAAAATTCATTGGAACAAGCAGCATTTTGGCATGAGTAAAAATCGTAAGTTATCTACACTATCAAGTTCTTCACGCGAAACAGCCGTGAAGAAAATTAGTATCTGGGTTTTTTTTTGCTTGCAATAAGTATCCCCCGCAGTTTACCGATGACAAGAGCAGTGACGGCTCAATAAGGGAAGGAATCCCATTGGATGCGCTTAATTGATTTAGAAAGGGGTACGAACTTCACACTCCAAAATCAGTCGGCCGTGAAGGGTCAAAAGCTTGGGCTTTGTCTGTAGTTCCTCATTTTTCTCTCTCCCCGGGGCGTGTCACCTTTTCTCGCGTGGGGTGATTTTCACGCGCGCTCGCGTTTTGCTTGCTCTACTATCCCTGAGGAAAAATGGGGGATACTTGTAGTCTATTTGACATCCTGTTGACAACTTGTCAGGATTCAATTTCCCCAGCCAATCAGAAAAAAAGTGCTGACAGGCTAAACTCAAAAGCTTGTGATAATGAGAAACATGACCTTGAAGTTTGCTTGAACAAACAGGTTTTTCTTCTATTCTATCTCACATGTAGGTGACTAAGTGTGAGAGTAAATCTTACTTCTGCCACACTAAGTCTTAAATTTATTTAGACGTCACAAAGCTGGTTTGTTTCATCCATATTGAGTAATTATTTCCTCTGGTTGATACTTCTGTAGGTGTTTCTGATAGGATTTGTTGATCTCAGATGCAGTTGTAAACTACCCATTTCTTTGACCAGTCTTAAAGGCTAAAGCTTTTTATAACGGCTAAACAAAGATTTTAGTTTCTTTGGTTTTCTCCGACTGAAGTGCCTGGATCTGGATTATAATTACATACCATTTTTAGAGGATAAGTTATGATCATGGGACATTTCTTCTTTTACCTGAACAAAGAAAGTAAAGATCATGCTTTTGCCAAAACCTGTTGACATGTTTCCCACTACCCTGTTTTCCCGTAGAATATTCAAGATCGACAATGCTCCAGTCAATACTTCTTTGATATTTTGATTTTGTTTAGCAGAGAAGATTTGTTCAGTCACTTAGAACTCTCCCATGGGAGGAAGACATTTTACATTGGTTTTACCTATCCTATTCAGATCCAATTGGCACAATCCGTACGCCGGCAAACGGACTACTCAAAAAGGCTGCCAGTCTGGGCAGGCGGTGCTCCCGCCCCAATCTCCTCACAGTTTCACTGCCCTTGCCCACCTTGGCTTGTCTGTGTGCCCAACCAAAACTGCCATGCTTCGCAAGCTAGGTGGATTTCCACTATTGCATAAGTTTTATGTGCGTAAATGCATGAAAGGCCACACCTAAACATAACAGTTGAAACTTGCTCAACTTAAAGGGGCTGTGTCATGGCTGTCTTCGTAAGGTTGATTTAGTAAAAGAACGGTAATGTCAGTAGACAATAATGGTACACGCAAATCAAACAACTAGCTTGACCAAAGGAAGAGCAACAAATTTGGGCACCGGACGTCACATTTAGTCCGTTCTGCACGCTATCCCATCGTCGACCGATGTTCCTGTTCTGTTGCTAAATCAGCCTATTTTGCCAGTTCACAAACACAAGAAGCAAGGTTTTTACCATACCCAGAATCACACTAACACTGTTGCGCCTGGTTAATCTGGAGATATTTGATCTTGCTGACATGAATTGACAACAACACAAAGTTTGTTGGCAGATCCTACTGTTCGAATTTTGATAAATTTCGTGGCACAGCTCCTTGAAAAGGTTACGCGCGACAAGTCATGCGTATGCCTCTATCAGGGGGGGGCCACGACTCCAATAGCGCCTAGTACTTGTTTCGTGTACCTATGATCCACCGATTTATGACATCACATCCGGTTGCAGAGTTGCTGCTCTGTTTTCGCGCGAAGCACCAAGCTGGACGCCCGATGCCATTTGGTTTTCTCGTTATTTTAACCAACAGGCTAACGGAATTATGTATCTTGAATGCCGAGAATGTTGAGAAGGTATCTAGCCGGCCTTTCAAGCAAATGTCATGACCAAACAAAGAAGATTTGGTATTATTTTAATGATAAATATCATGCAGCTGAGGGGAATGTCATGGCGAGTCTTGAGATGTTTTAAAACGAGTGTCGTTAACGTTTTGCGGCTTTTGCGGCCTCTGATTTAGAGAAGGCATCAAACAAAATATAATTTCCTGAGCGGAAAAGAATGGAAAAAACGCTGATGGCCACAGTTTAAAGTGTTCACCGCTGGAAGGCTGGATCACGCCCCGTAAAGTTGCAGAAACTTGCACTCAACTGCATGGTTTTGAGGAATGTCATGGCGAGTCTTTCGCTGTTTGTAATCGAGCGTCACTCAAGAGTTTGGCTTTCGCGGCTTCTGATTCATCGAAGTCACCATTCAAAATTGCCTATCCTGAGCGAAATACGGTGTAGAAAAAGCTTATTGTCACAGTTTAAAGTGTTAACAGCTGGAAGGCTTGGCACTCGACGTAAAGTTGCTGAAAGCTCTTCTCGACTGTACGGTTTGAGCAATGCAATGGTGAGTCTTTCTCTGTCTAATCGTGCGTCACTCAAGACTTTGGCTTTTGCATCTTCTGATTCATCGAAGTCATCAATCAAAATACCCTATCCTGAGCGAAATACCGTGGAGAAAAAGCCTATGGGCACAGTTTTTTGGAAGGCTTTGCCACTCGACGTAAAGTTGCTGAAAGCTCTACTCAACTAATTAATTTCGAAATAGTCACATGTTGCGTGCTTCTGGAAGGTTAGCGTTGGATTTTTAGCATTTAATTTGCCTTTGAGGATTTATGTTTAGAACAAGCCTTAAGCCCAAAAGTAGTCCAATTTGTCATTATCTGAGAGAAATCAAGAAAGTTTGTGCCCTTCCTTTTTTCTAAGCTTGCAAGTGTAACGCACCTGAAAAGGAACCCTTATGCACTACAAGTCATATTGTCAAAATGACTAGTTCGAAATTACTCCTTATCTTAACTGATAACTACAACACTTATTTAAAAATGTATCGCTCCCGAACATGTGTTGATTGGTTCTTGACCTTTACAGTTGAAAAAAAAAAATTCTATTAATTACAGTGATTATAGTTGTGTAATTAATTAGTAAATCAAAAAAGAATGAAATTAAAGTGAAAAAACAAAACAGCTGTTTTAACTGTTTTAGAGGTTTGAAGGTCCGAAGGGATCACTAGAGCTGTAATGTGAGACTCAATAAGAGGTCTAGTTACTTTAGAACACGTTAGAAGTTAGGGTCATTCATAATGCTGTACTGCACCTTATTTTATCTGACGATTATCTAAGGTATAAAAAATGAATTTTGTGTATTTTCAAAGACTTCAATATATGCTTACTTTTGAATTTATAAACAATATATATTTAAATCCTACACTGTAAGTCTGGTTGTCAGTGTAGCCTGTGTCGCAGACATAATCTATTGCCGGTTAGTAACATCTGCAAAGCCGTGCCAATATTATGGGCTACCAATCGCAATGTGTTTCGATATTCCCTTCAACCTGATTGGCACACTGATAATGGTATTTTTAAGAGGCCAATCATAGTACATATGCAAGTGCTAGTTCACAGGTGGGCCACGGGGTGCCCAGAAGCAGGATTTCAGTGCTGTCTCACAGGGGGACTTAACCAGAAGTTTAGTTCTGTCTGTGGCACAGGCTAGTCTCTGGGCATTAATGTTTAAATTATGTATTTTATGTTGCTTAGCTGGGAAGACAAAAATAGATGACAGAAGAGCACAAACAAGAGAATATCAAGAAGTATTAAAAAGTATATCTACCACACAACTCATAAAGAGAGGTGAAAGTCCATGAGGACAGAAATGTTGTTACAGAGCCATAAAACATTAATGTTAAGTACAACTCACTGTCAAATAAGTTAAAAGGAAGGAAGAATGCTGACATTTCGAGGAATACACTTTTCTGGTTTATGGAAAATCTGCAGCAAAAGAAGACACTGAAATCATGTTGAGCTGGTTCAGGATGTCAATTCTGTTTAGATGGAATCCTCTGACAGTGTCTAGGCCAGTGTACAGTAGTGTGCTTCGAAGCTGGTCCTTGGTAAGACATTTCTTGACTTTACATGCCAACTCTCTTTCAAGGACCTCAAGGATAAGTGTCTGTTTCCCTGACATTCACTTTCTTGTCAGGGATCAGCAAATTTTAACTAGACGACTGTGTTAACTGTAGTTTTTTTTTGTAAGACTTAAAAAACTTCACAGGAAAGACTGAAACTAATGATCTTGCACTAAGTAGCTTTGAAGAAATCAAGGTTTCTGGGGGGGGGAGGCTGTGCTGCACATATTTCGCTTGGAGATACGAGAGCAAACACCCTAGATGCAACTATAGGAAACCAAACTAACCTTGAATTTAATAGAGAGTATTCACTCACTTGGCTTATTAGTTTGGGACACCATGGTCTCTGTTTCATTGTTTTGGGACACCAATATGGCCACCGTGACGTCATGTGAATACTCTCTATACTTCAGTCAGTTTCTCATGTTTATTTTCCATCCCTAAGCATTCTGTTTCTCCTGTGGAAAGGAGTTGGTGGTTGAGTTATGACAACTTCATCCCTTAGTGTTCTTCATCCCTCAGTTATGATCAGTCAGAGTAAAGGATGGTTAATATGATCCTGATTAGGAGAAGAAAGCTTTCTATTAAAGGCACCATGGTCTAGAAGACCAAATGTAAATCCCTATCTGACCTCATTGACATGGAGAAACAAAAAAGGGACGGGCTGACACCCAGCATAGTGATGTGCAGTATTAAGCTCAACAAGGATACAGGAAAAATCCACAACTGAGAAACTGGTTTTTAAGAACCTGTCAGGCTAAAATTTTCCAGTTAGGCTGTCTTTATAAAAGAGCACTTAAATTTGAAACAGCTTATTAATCATAACCATTACAATTTCCTCAGATTTGATTTTTTCTTTAATCATTGTGTATAGTTGCCTGTAATCGGACAGTTATGTTAGCCAATCATTTTAAATGCACTCAGCTAAACCCACCAATCACAGAAGTTATCATGATAACCATAGCAACAATCACTTACCCAAACAAACTGAGGATTAATCCAAAATGGATGAATATGCAACATTTAGGCAGTGTCTCCACCAGTGATATTTTCCCTCACTTTGGACATTTGGTATGAACAAACACTCTTTCACCAAAAAGGAATGCATCTATTTTCTTGGAAATTGTAATGGTTATAATTATTAATTGGTAACAGGACTCTGTGTCATCCAATTCAATCTGTAATCATACTCACGATTAAACAAATCTGACTCCTGCTTCGCGGTTGTCCAAGTTTGTAACACTTGTATGATTACAGACTGAATTGGACTCCCCTCAGTCCTATTACCATTATTTATAAAATCTCTTAGAAAAAGCTTCTGCACAGTGTACACTTGGGAAAGTAAGATAAGTCAACATTCAGGGTCCTCTTTTGAGACATAGGTGTCTAATAATATTTATTATTACTCTGACTGCAATGTGATGGCGTACAGGTTTTACATATACTAAGGAAAGAGCTGAATGCCACTAAATACTTTTAGCTCAAAGCTACAAAGTATTTTTTTTTAGAAAATAAGGACCTATTTGAGACTGAACCTAAATAGCCTAAATCTGTGCTAATTAGTTTTTCTTTAAGAACCTGACTTGTTTAGGCTAACTTGGGAAAATACAGGTTCTTGGTTGCAGGTTTTTACTAGTAATTAAATTTGATGGAAAAAAAGATTATCAAAAATTAACATAGCCAGATGAGCTTATTTACAACTCCATTTTTCAGACCTGCAATTTATTTAAGGCTGTCTTTTAAAGGAACCACAAGAACAGCATGTATTTTTATTTTCAGCTTTAATAAATTCCAGACTATTTTAATGATCTGGGGCCGGTTGCTCGAAGCCTGGTTAGCGCTAACCGTTGGTTAAGAGGTATCAAAATGTATAGGTTTCCATGGTATTTAACGCTGGTTAGCACTAACCATGCTTCGAGCAACCCGGGCCTGGTTAGAAAATCCTCTTAACAGATGGAATAGCAAAATGTGAATTAATAAATCCTTTGATCAAACTGTCTTCTGCTTTTCTCTTGCCAAACCATCTTTCCCTACAGAGGAGCAAAGGTTGTAGCAAATCAGAAAAATAAAACAAAGACAAGAGGCTACACCTGAAACCCCTCTTTACTGTTACTTTAACACCCAGGGAGAAGGTTATGGTACTTCTATACAGGTATGTGCCATGGAATAGGGAGTGGGTTTTGAGATGATCAGTCTTTATCCTACACTACTTGGCTTGGCTTTCTGATCCTTTGGTAGGGTTCCTTTGTAAAATTATACTAGCTCACCGTCAGTAGATAACCTTCAGGGGTTTCAAAATGTTTTAAAGTAGGCAGCCGAATCTGGAGGCTGGGGGCACTGGAATTGCTGGCAACATACAATCAAGTAGCCGATGGAACTCCGGTGGTCACTGGCTTGTTTTGAAACCACTGAAACCTCTGGTAAAAACTGAAGATACATTGATGGGATCAAGATATGAACTTGAGCCGAGAGCTACTGAACAATAAAAAAAACACTCTTTTTATGCAAATCAAGCCGTTTGAAGATTGAAATAGGAGTGTAAACACTTTTTGACACAAAAAAGATGTTTATAATTATCTACATTTACCCAATATTTCCTAGACCTTCACTTGTTGGGGGATTGTGTGTTAAAACAACTTGAACATTGCATTGAAAGCCTGTTGTCAAGGATACAACTAAGAAGAGATGGTATATATTTGACTGTATTTTTCAGTAGATACTGGAAAAGAATCAAAAATGCATTGTGAATCTAAGCACTAAGATTTTGAGCCAAATACAGGATCAAAGGACGTTAGTCAATAACAAGGAATGTGGATATTTTTTTGGAAAAAGGAAATAAATACAGCTTGAATGTCTCAGGGCTGGTTTGCACATTTCTAAAATTCATACATGTAATTTATTGAAAATATTTTGATGTTTCTTTTTTTTAGAACAATAATAATATCATTGATCAATCAAATAAAGTAGGTGAATAAAATTTCAGTATTTCCTTTAACACTAGAAGAAAAACTGTTGTATACATACTAATTATACACAGCTGTATATCATTATTATTATGGTTCAATTTTATCCCTGGATAATTTTAGTTTCCTTTGTGTCATACTCATTATCATACATTTTCATACCCAAAAACACAGGAAAAAATTTAAATTGAAGTATAAAGCAAAAAATAAAAATACTGTCCATGTATGGCCAAAAGAAAAAAAATGATCACTGGCTCACTCAAAGCTGCACTGGGTGACTGTTTGTCCTAAAAAGGTTTGAACTCTCTGTTGGATACTCCCTTTTGCCCCACCAGCTACAGGTACATACCCCTCCCCCTCAGGCATGCCATTCAACATTGTAATAAAAGAAGACCACTGTCAACCTTATTAAAAAGTTACAGAGTAAAAACATTGTTATTAGGAAACAGAAAAACCATTCTACTGAAGTGAATTATTGCAGTAACCTTCGAATTTTGGTTCCATCGCTTACATGTATTGTTTCTAGTAACAAAAAGTGCAAGTCTTAAGATGAAATTTTCATATTACAGAACAAAAAATATCCTTCCTTTTTCCAGGGAGGCCATTTTCTCCCAACAACTCCCTACCAGGTAGAAATTTCATTCAAGTTTCATATAAAATACTTTTTGTTTGTTTTGGCCATGAAGACCCCCTCTCCTTACAACTTTTAAGGATCCTAGAATCAAATAATGCAAATATCCCTTATGCACAACTGTCTTACAATATGGATTTTAAGGCTCGGCAAGGGAAAATTGGCAAAAAATATACTTCCAGTCCTTCACATGTAATTGAACTGTCTATCCCCTACCACACAGAGAGAAAATAACTGGCAATGCAATTTTGCTTATCTGTGCAAATTAAGTTTGCTGTCATTAAGTTTCACAATCCCCCATAAGCAACAATGCACTCTGTCATACAGTGTAGGTGTGCTGTTACCACCCCTGAAATCCCCTAAGCAAAAACCTTGCATGCCTCCCTCTAAAACAATAAATTATGATCACAGCAATTGCAGGCATGTGGTATCTTTCTGGTATACTATCGTACTCAAAAAAGGCTACTAGTAATAATAATTGATCAACAAGATTATTGTTTTTGTTATAATATTGTTCTTCTTGGTGTAGGCCCTCTTAATATCTCCACCTCTCCTGGGGCACCACCTCCCAAAGCAAACGGTCTATTCTCTGTCACATTTTTTCTATTTTATGTGTTTCTTACACAATAAAATACAGTTTTAGAGATCCAGTAGAAAGTGCTGTGAGAAAAAGGGTAGTTCTTTCGGATGTTTTACTGCCCTTTTCTAATAGTAACCACCTGTTCTTTAAGAATTCCCCTTTCATCAATCATTTAAAAAATTATCTAATTCTCTTAACTATTAAAAGCTCACGCTCTAACATTGAATAACTCTAATATTTCGCTACTCTACGCTCCTTGTAATTCTCTCACGTGCACTAAAAGAAAAATCAGCAAACCTACTAACCTTATCTATGCGACATCATGCCAGAGGGTCTTCGAACAGCAGAAGACTGAGCCCTTGCAGCAACTTTACGTCGAGTTATAAAGCCTTCCAGCTGTTAACACTTTAAACTGTGACTATAAGCTTTTTCTCCACGGAATTTCGCTCAGGATAGGCAATTTTGATTGATGACTTTGATGAATCAGAAGCCGCGAAAGCCAAACTCTTGAGTGACGCTCGATTACAAACAGCGAAAGACTCACCATGACATTCCTCAAAACCATGCAGTTGAGTGCAAGTTTCTGCAACTTTACGGGGCGTGATCCAGCCTTCCAGCGGTGAACACTTTAAACTGTGGCCATCGGCGTTTTCCCCATTCTATTCCGCTTAGGAAATTATATTTTGATTGATGACTTCTCTAAATCAGAGGCCGCAAAAGCCGCAAAACGTTAACGACACTCGTTTTGAAACATCGCAAGACTCGCCATGACATTCCTCGCAGCTGCATGATATTTATCGTTAAAATAATACTAAAACTTCTTTGTTTGGTCATGACATTTGCTTGAAAGGCCGGCTATATACCTTCTTAATATTCTCGGCATTCAAGATACATAATTCCGTTAGCCTGTGGGTAAAAATAACGAGGAAACCAAATAGCATCGGGCGTCCATCTTTGTGCTTCGCGCGAAAACAGAGCAGCAACTCTGCAACCGGATGTGATGTCATAAATCGGTGGATCATAGGTGCACGAAATTTCGCTAAGTTGTGGGCCCCCCCCCTGGCCTCTATGTTATTGTAGGCGCGTAAAATTTACGTACCTATGTACGCACTTAAAAATTACGCGACAGTGAGAGTCCACTCTGTATCAAGGTGGGACGTACGAGGACACGTAATGATTAAGTTTATTTCCCCGGTGGATAAGTGGATTCGCAGAGGAAAAAAGATAAAATTAAGCTAACGTGCGGTCTCGAACACATGACTCCCGCGTGCGATCGGTATCTACCTATTTTACGAGTTGCCTGAATCGAAGCAGGGTATTCTGCAGTTAAGCCAGACTCTATTTCACAGGAGTTTGAATTAATACATAATAATTTTGAGTATAATAGAGAAAGGAAACGCAGTTTACTTACCGTCACCTTTCGTCAGCTCTGCGACGAGAGGAGGCCAGATACAGTGTGTATGACACATAGCATGTCATCAGGTCTTCTATGTTTACTTCGCGGCTTCCTACATGAAGTAGCATGTGATGCAGAGTTTTGAAAAGGATAGCCATAGTTGCTTTGGAAGTTTTTGACAGTTAAACTATATGCTTGAGATAATAGTTGGTTGGAATGGATGTTCAAGGAACCTTACGATCGTTTGGTGGTGAGTTTTCTTACCCCCAATACATAAGTTTTTGTCACATCTAAGTTCTTTGCACACCCCCAGCCTCAAGTAAATTAATTATTAACTCAAAACTGTAACTGAAATTTAATCACAGGTACCGCAAGCTCACGAGTGAGGATCAGTGATTCAGCGATTCTCACTAATTGTGAGCTTGGGATACCTGTGCTTTATTTAGCGAATGGCTCAGACAGTCAATTCCAAGGGTGCCCATCTCCCCAGGTATTTGTCGGGAGGTGAGGACAAAACATGGACCCTCATTTTGGACCGGTCCATGGAACACTTATCTGGACCATCCATGGACCCCATGTAATGGACCGGGTCCATGGACACTTTTTGTTTAAGAACGGGTTTAAAGTAGAAATGATCGACAAACATTATGGCCAGCTTCAAGCTACAAAAATAGCACAAAAATAAGGTTTGGAGGTGTTGATAATTGATATTTACACCTGCTTACGTGATATACAAAAAGCTAAAGATGTATGCTTACAGCCTGGCTGTATGACTCTAATGGTAAGTGTTTGCTCAGCTTTGTGGATATATTTTTCTTTTTGCTGTTGTCTTTTTTCCTTACACAGTCAAATTGTCTTTCGTTCTGGATCATTTTGTTACCTGAGAAATAGCTTCTGCAGCATGAAGAAATTTCCCCGTGTGTGACAGTAGATACATAAACACACTGTCGACAAAATAAATACAGCTGTAATAAACCAGATACAGGGCTCAAAATAACTTTTTGACAGTGGCCGCCCAACAAATTTTTGCTCTGTCATCTCTGGATCGGTGAAATCAATAATAAAATTGTTTTATATAGTAATACCCAATTAAGACAAAAATATTGTGTACACATTTAACCTAGGCTGATCCCAGATTTTACCTATAAAATATACACCATGTACATTTATTATTCTAGTTATTTATTTGAAAGCCGTTCAACTATAAAACTAAATATAACATTGTTGGATGCTGTTTACATGTATTTGCACCATGTTCATTGTTCATTTCTCCTTCTTTAATTTTTTTTTTGAGGGGGACATGGATCCAGTCCATTACAGGGGGACCATGGGCCAGGTCCATATAAGTGGTCCATGGACCCACTCCAAAATGGAGGATCCATGGACCCGGGGCCATGTTTTGTCCTCACCCTTTGTCAGGCATTGAAAAAGCTGCAAATGCCCCACAGTAGGGCTTAAATACAGTAGAACCCCAGTAACTGGCAAACTCTGAAGGGAAGCGATAAACAGTTTGAGTTATTGAGGGTTCGAGTTAACAGGGTCGATTGCAGAATTCAATTTGCCTTATTAAAAAATGTTAGTTACTGATTTTTCAGCACTTCAGTGTACAGTGCAGTACAAGTTTAACTTACTTCATCAGGAACAGTAACATCGATCGATCGATCGAAAAATATGATCACCAAACCATCAGTTATCTCTGAGGAAAAGCACAGGAAAAAATAGCAGATTCTCATTTTTGGATATTTTAGGGTATTTAAAGAATACCCACCAAAATCCCAAATTTGGAAGAGTAAGACAAGTCCCAATCAGGGAACTTGGTTGGGAATTCCCTGGTTGGGACTTGTCTCACTTTGCCTAATTTGGGATTTTTATGGGTATTCTTTAAATACCCTAAAATATCCAAAAATGGGAATCCGTTATTTTTTCCTGTGAAGAAGCATTTATCCTCTGTCCTTGTCTCTAATGGGTACCCCTATTTGTTTGTAGCTAACATTATGAAATCCAAGAATCAGCAGGCATCTAAATGAAGAACCTACAACTTAAATTATATCTACAGCAAATGTGTAAAGTGTAAATGTATATAAATGTAAATGCAAATGTAATGTGTAAATGTATGTAAATATCATATTATCCACTCCCCTCAGGGCTTTTCAGGGATAATTTACAACACTGGTTGGGGACTTTGCCAGACTGCTTAAGGTGCAGTTCACAAGTAATGAAGGAATGAGTTTTGATGCCCTCATACATGAGTGTGAAAGTGAGATAGACCACTACACTGGGCACTACATGCCCTACTCTTTATGAAGAGTGTGTGGGTTCTTTATCGTCCCACAGATTTATTACATATGCAAGGGCTTGTGAGACGGGGCCTACGATTTATCGTCCTTATCTGAGAAGACTAGAAAGTCAAACCATTCGCAGATGTTATTACAAAGGCAGCACTTTCTCCTCAGTTATTTAAAGACCCTGGGGATTGGTCCGGCCAGGGTTTGAACCTACAGCCTCCCACTCAGTAGACCAGAGCTTATCTCATTGAGCTAACCTGGTAGCGGTTCCACGATACATCAAAGGGTTATCTGAACCACTTCATTGTTGCCTACAACAGCATGGCATACGATCTGTTTTGCATCAGTCAATTCCAGCAGCGGCCAGCCCCCTTCCTGGGCTGACCCCCCCAGCCCCTGGGCATTAGCGTTTGTTTTTTGCCTTGGATGGTAAATTCCTGGGGGCAGGGACTCTTGAGCTGTCAAATCCCCCGGGGTGGGGATGAAAGAAAGGGCAAATGCCCCGTCCTCTATCAACACTGCAACAGTTTTCACTGAGCGCACAGTCGAGTAGTGCCATTTTAGCGGAGCTCTGGCGCAAGAAGCGCGCCTGCGGAGCACCATGGATAAGTAAATCTACCCATCCCAGAAAATTTGGTAATCACGTGACCGTACACCACCCGCCTGTCCGTCCGCACCACAGGGCAACCCATGTTCAATCTCACGCTTTCTAGCTAGTTTGGGAGCACAGGAAGACTGATATTGCAGACATATTGTACATCAATGTTCTGATCAATTGACAGCTGTCAAAACAGGGTACCCGCTGACCAGTATCACCTGACTGTATTGCGGGCTCAGGTGTCAACCCATCGAGGTCGAGTATCCTTTTTGAAGTTATCCGCTGACAAGTTACTAGTTTTCAAATGATCACAGGCTCAAGTTAAATGTTTTTTAATTCATATGAAGTATGTTGTGTTTTATATGTGCCACACAATTAAAATTTTGATTTCAAACTGACCTCAGAAGCTAAAATCAGCCAGTTTTTACAGGCAGGGAAGACATGCCTGTTGCTTTTGACTTTTGTCACTAAGGTCACGCGTTGGTCACGCTCTACGTCCAATTTTTATGCTCTGATTGGTCAAAATTTGACAGGTGAGTTCATGCGGAAAATTTATGCAGCATTTTGAAACTTGTTTACTTTGATAGCTGAAGCTGACAGAGTTTTATGTCAACTTGCGATGTTTTTAACTGTCTTTTTTCACTGAATGTACAAAATGAAATTCTGCTGCTATCAAGAGTCTTCAGTTATTCATAGCTAGTTTGTTTATTGGGTTTTTGGTCAAAGTCGGAAATCTGATTTCACATGGCATCGTTTTTGTTTTTCACCTTGCTTGATGCATAAGAGGGTTGAAAAGTCTGAAGCGATCCTGGCCTTACTTGATAGTTTTCAGTGCATCTCGAATGGTAAGCCTGAGTAATTATTGTATTTGATGTTTGTCTTTTATATCTAATTTAATAAAGTCGGGCGTAGTTTATGCGACTATTTAGTTTATGCACGTTTGTAAGATTTGAGACAATAATCTGACCGAGTATCAGGTTTGATTATATGCTTATAGAACAAACAGAAAGAAAACGTTCCAAAGAATATTTAGCTATAATTCTGGCTTTAAAAGAAAGCTTTGAGCGATTTTCTTGCCTCGAGTTCATCTTTGAAAAAAGCAAACACCTGGAAGCAGGCTTAAAACATAAACAAGGATTTTCAGAGACACTTTAATACTTGTCTTCATGAATGAAAATTGTTGTCTCTGTATATGTTTCACCGAATTGTTTTCTTTTTATTGATTGTTAGTAGTCTCTTTTGAAATTTTAATCGCTGTGCCGTTTGTTTCAGGCGCTCATGAACATCGCTTGCAGGAGTACTCAAAATGCCACGCGTATCAAACGAAGAGGATTACACATCGTTATAAAACCATTAAATAAAAAATAAACATAATAAATTCTTTACCATGTTGAAGCGTATAACTCTAGATATTAATCTTGATTTAAACAGTCGACTTTGGCGCCTGCCAAAGGTGAGAACTGGCTAGCCGTATAGGTGATTTTGGAATTGTTTTTAACGGTTTCGGTAAAGGCACACGGGTGCTTTGATCGTCCTGAATATTGAATGAGTGCAATTGGTATTGCAAAATTGTGAAATACTGCATTCTGTCCGAGGTCTGTATGATAAAAACAGCACCTCACGGTACTGTTTCACCTCAGATGTGATGTATAAAAGGTGGGTTTACCCGTCCCCAGACTTGTTGGCAAGATTTTGTAAAGTAAATTATAAACTTGTCGAATGCAAAAAATTCGGCCTGATTTGTTTTCCAAGAATTTTTTTTCCAGGCCTAATCTACTGTACAAATTCGAGTTAATAGGAGCTTCGCTTTTAGCCCTGGCTAATCTATATATTAAGCATTTTAATGGGCAATTTTTTATTTAATAATTTATGTCTCCCTTTACAGTAGCGCTATTCTAATTAGGACTTCACACCACGACGACACCAGTTTATGGTTTTTGTATCGTTATAAAATTATTGACATTAATATTAATAGTGTGCTGTAATGCTATCTGTTCTGAAAAGTTTTATAAATATGAGAGGATGTTCTTTAAATAATTTCAGCAGAAATTTGATTCAGTAACCAAAAAATGTAGATTCATGTCAAAAGCTCCCAATTTCGCTATGTAATTCTGGCTTGATAAGCAGTGAAGAAACGCATGCATAAAATGATCGAGAAAATGCCATTACAACCCTTAACAGATGGGCCAATTTGCTTGTTTTTCCAGTAAAGTCCTCTGTGTAGTTATATTTGGATAGGAAACCATGTGTGTGTCAAAAGCTTGGGGGTGGCCCAGGGTTGGTAAATGCCTGATCTTCTGGCAGCGCAAAATTTGCTACCCCACTCCCTGACTGACAAGGCAGGCAAATGGGGGACTGGGCACAGCTACAATTGACTGATGCATTATATATTAAGCGTGAGACGCATTGTTTCATCACCAGATGAAACACTGAGAAGAGAGTTGAAAATACGTTGCGCAGTAGAGTATTTTTGATGAACTTCAAGGTGTTTCATCTGGTGATGAAACACTGTGTCAAATGCTTGATATTACTTCTCAAACAAATGATTTTAGAAGGAGAAATTAAGGATGCAAAAATGAGCAGCTTTTCATCTGATTTCTAAACACTCATTAAACATTAATTTGCTTTGTATTGTCTTTTATGAATTATTAATGAGTTTAGAAGTCCAATACAACACTGAGATCACACTTAGTGCAACCTAATGATGCTATTAATCCACAAAAACAAGAAGGAATTGTGTATAAGATTCCTTGTGAATGTGGCAAAGTATACATAATTGGTGAAATGGGAAGGTGCATGTATGAACAAATTAAAGGGCAGTGTAGGGATATATGGCTTTTACAAACTAAACTTCAGCCGTTTCTGAACATACCAAAAAGTCTGGGCATTATCTGCTCTGGGATGAGGTTAAGTTTATAATTTTAACTGAGAACCCCACTGGTACTCTCAGAGTTAAAGAGAGTATTTACATAAGACTTCACCGTTACAACATCAACAGGAACGTGGAATTCAGATTCCCGAGGTGTGGATACCTATGATAAGACAACATGGCAACCAATCACTACCACAATGGACTGCTGAGGGAACCGTTTCCTCCTCTTATAATTCCAACAATGCTTTGGATCGAAACCCACCAACCATGAGCAGGGTTCATGATACACCAATCACTAACATCCTTGGTGGTACAAATACAGTGATTCAGGACATTCCCAAGTGTCCGCTTAATAGAGGGTGTCCTCTTAATAGAGGTTATAAAAATTGTGCAATGTTTGTCACTGATTAACTTTCAACGGTTACTCTGTACTGTCATAAAGTTCCATCTTGTTAAGGAAGCTGTGCTGTACTTTTGTGCAAATCTTTCGGTCTAATCTACAGTTTATTGTCAGCTAAATGTATTCATTTATCTTTATTAATCGACTACAGTACATATTTCAAGGACATGATCCAATACTACTATTGTCAATTCAGTCTGGTGTCCGCTCAATAGAGGTTATTAACAATAGAAATTAGCCAAATATACAATTTATAAATTTTTAGTGTCTGCATCTGTTTAATAGAGGTGTCCACTCAATAGGGGTTCGTTATAAAGGGAAATATAAGACGTTAATTTCGGGACCCGGCTTAGTGTCCACTTAATAGAGGGTGTCCACTTAATTGGGGGTCCGCTAAATAGAGGTTTCACGGTAGTTCTACTAGGTAAATCAAAACCCACCAACCGTGAGCGAGGTTTATTAAAAACACCAATCACTTACCACCACGGTCGTACAAATAGTTCTACTCAGTAAATCAACACAATCACCTGATGAAGACCTGCAGTGCGCAGTCAAAATGTCGCGATCAATACTTATGTGACAATCATGATCTACAAGCAAAACCCTTCATACATATTATCCACGATGAACAATATCTTTCATGACTACAGTAACATGATTAGGTATTTTTATGATAAAATGTGATGATCTGGTCATTCCAGAAAAAATCCACCCCCCTCCCCCCGTAATGTAATCCCCTCGGGATTTCTAAGTTTAAAGACCCCCCATTAAAAAATATCGCATCAATTCTTTATGTACATAAAAGATTTAAAAAAAAAACCCCTTAAAACAAATTACCCCAAAAAAAAAAATTTTTTAATAATAAAGTAACATGGTTAAGATTTTTTTAGAAAAAAATGTATGGTTTGGGCATTCCCAAAAAAAACCCCCCCCCCCCCCCCCTAATTTTAACCCCCCGGGGTTTTTAAATTTTAAAACCCCCCCCCCCCCCCACCCATCCGGATTTCCGATGTAGAAGAATTCTTTTAGGCGCTTAGATGATCTTTTTATTAAATAAGCCTCAATTTTCTGTGAATAATTCTGTGTTTGTTGTGAAAGTTAAGATTACAGTTTCACATCTTCTTAAACAGGCTTACACTTTTGGCAAATTAGCTCACATTTGAGTGAACTTCTCTCTCTCTTTCTAGACCAGGCAAAATATACAGCAATATATACTACAATAAAGCTCAAAACTAAATTTGTACTCGAATAAGAGGTTCTCTTCTTTGTCCATAAAAAACCGCCAAACAATCACACAAAACCATGCTTACTTGTAAGGCATGTTTAGTGGTAAACCACCCAGAAAAAACATTGACCTTTTAAAAATTTTTAATTCAAGGTAATCATCATTGTTTGCTTTACTTGAACTGAATGTTTTTATGAATTATGCGATATCTTCAAGTTATCACATGTCCCCTCTACAAAGTAATGAAGGCGATCCTATGGATGGAAACTTAAAATAAATGTGGTAAGAGGTCTGTAGTTTGAAAGAATAATAAAATTTGAAAATGCAAAGCAACAAATTTGTTGAAAACTTATCAATTAATGCGACTGAAACATCAATGAAATCAAAAGTAACTCTTGAGGTTGTATTTTTAGGTTCAGAGCCCCCCTCCCATCTGGATTTCCAGAGCGGTTGACCCCCCTCCCCCCCTTCCGTGAGATTTTCCAGCTTGCCTTCCATTGTGGGGGTGTGAATTTTTTCTGGAACAACCCATTGCACCAATTAAAAGAAAATTGATGTATTGTTGACCAGGGTGAGTTTTAGGGTTTTTATCAATATACAGATAGAAGAGCTAATGGGATGGCATTTGAGTGGAGTTACAAGAACAAGAATTCGAGTTATTGGGGTAAATTTCAGTGAATTTATGATCAAGGGAAATGAAATTTAGTTTGAGTTAGTGGGGAATTTGAGTTATCCAAGTTCAAGTTAACCGAATAAAAATGACTGAAAAGTGGGGTGAAATCCAAGGGAAATTAGACTTAGTTCGAGTTAGCGGGGAGTTTGTGTTATCTGAGTTTAAGTTATCAGGGTTCTACTGTAGTGTGCAAATGCCCCACCCCAGGACAACAACAAAATTGCATTTTCCAGTAAAATACCGATTTTTATCAATTGCCTACTTCAAGACCTTATGGTTAGAATTTGTGCTGCATCTTTACCAGTGGCATCTCTTTTTAAAATTTGGATGCCATTGATTATGTTGCCAAAGCAATTTTGTAATTTTACTTGTAAAATTGTAAAATGACAATGAAATTTTACATCCAAAATATTAAAATGATTTATTTATCACCTGCAACATGTACTAATTTTTTTTTCCTGTATATTAGAAATGTGGTATCAGATTTTTCTTTGGTGTTTAGCGACGTCAGTATTCATCCACTGTATTTCAGCAAGTGTTGCTTTTCTTGCATTACGGAAGCATTCTCGTGGAGTGTTCCTGCCTTTGCTAGTAATCTTCATTGGTTTTCTTTATCCTGTGACTGGAGGTGTCATCACCAGTGAGTAACTGTATTTTAAGTAAATTTCAAGTTAAGCCATTATAGAAGTGCTTGGAACTCAAAAATTTTGTTATGTTCAATAATTTGTTGATGGCAGGCCTGCAATCAACCACTTTTCAGCTGTAAATGTAAATCCTTGTGCTTGGACTTTCTCTTTGACAAAAAGCTCGTTAATTTTCCTAAAATTTACCTGCTTAATTTGGAGACCAGTTTATATGGACAATTAACACCTTTCTGTTTCCCAAGTCACAAACTTCCATATATTGCCAACCCTGCCTTACGGACACTGGTTTTCTTATCACAATCATGTGCTAGTTGTAGGTTTATATGCATGGGGCTTGTCGTTAATTAACTGTTGGGGGGGGGGAGCCATCTTGCTGGGGGGTCATTTTCAAAATCTTGATTGGTCTTGGGGGGTCATTTTAATAAATTTTGTGATAGTAGTTCAAAGTAGTAACAAGCGTGAATTGAAATTGAATATAACAGCCATAAAAGTACCGACACACTGATCTTATAGACCTGACTGTAGATTAAGTTTGTGGTGAACTTCAGCACAATTTGTAGGTAGAATGTTCATAGTTTCCACAGCAACCAGGTGGTCATGGGTGGTCATATTTAAAAAAGGAAGTATAAATTAGGGGATCAGTTTGAAAATCTACTTAACTTTCTCAAAATGGCCGGTCCCCACTCACAGGTAATAAACAAGCAGCCCCTATGGTTCAAAAAGAGAGAGACATGTTTGATCTTGATAAACCTGTCTTTCTTCCCAGTTCCAAAGTCAACACAGCTTACCTGTGTGTGTGGAGCACCAGATACGTGTGATGGGAGGATGGAAGACGAAACTCTTCCGTCACACATATCTTGCCCTCCACACCTGCCTCGCCCGCCTGAAACAAGAAAAAATAAATAATGAAATGATACGTCTGTACATGCACTGCAAAAACTCATTAATAATTCATAAAGAAAAACAAAAGATTGTTTAATGAATGTTTTTATATTTAATAAGGACACGACTAAAGTTAACGTCCAATTTTTTAGGCCAAAATAAACCCAGAAAACTCGCAGTCGTGTATTATCAGGTGTAAAAACTTAGCCTGCGTGGCAGGCGCAAAAAAGAAAGGGGGAAGGGGGAGGGAGAAAGGGAAAAGGGAAGGGAGCCCTCCCCCTCCCCTTTTTCCCTTCCTCCCTATCCCCTATCCCCTACCCCTTTCGATGCCTGCTATGCAGGCTATAAAAACTCTCAGCTTTGCCTCGAGTTTTTAAATTACCTGATAATACACTCCTGCGAGTTTTTGAAACATTACTGATAACTTTGAGTTTTTGGCAGCTCCATTTTTAACATCACGACTGTTCAATTACCAGAATTTAATACCATCAACTGATGATACACAACTCATTTTAACATTAGGGCCATTTATAAGAGGAAAAATAAGAAGCGTCTTATGTAAGACGCGTCTTATTTTTCCTCGTTTAAATGGCCCTAATGATGACTACCGCACAGGTTTTTGAAATGTCAGTAAATGTCAACAACAGTCCTGCGCTCAAGCTACTTAATGACTTATAAAATTTGTTTCTTTATTTTTTCNGAGTTTTTGGCAGCTCCATTTTTAACATCACGACTGTTCAATTACCAGAATTTAATACCATCAACTGATGATACACAACTCATTTTAACATTAGGGCCATTTATAAGAGGAAAAATAAGAAGCGTCTTATGTAAGACGCGTCTTATTTTTCCTCGTTTAAATGGCCCTAATGATGACTACCGCACAGGTTTTTGAAATGTCAGTAAATGTCAACAACAGTCCTGCGCTCAAGCTACTTAATGACTTATAAAATTTGTTTCTTTATTTTTTCTGTAGGTGCTACTATAGCAGCAGTTTATCAAACAGCACATTTCACTATGCCACGATATGCCTCTTTCCTTTGGGGTGCTGGACAAGCTTTCATAGGATTTCTTGTGTCATACACACGAGTGCTAGCAACATTGTGATCTTTCGAGATCTTGTCAATTTATCTAATTATCCAGAAACTTACTTTTCCAGTCGTCTTGTCAAAGTCATCCTACATGACAATATACAGCTTAACTTCAGTCTGTGTGGCTTCAGAAGGTGATGACTTAGATTGCTGTTGGATGTCATGACTGACAATCCAATGTTTTTTCTCCTGCAGTAAGAAAGGATGAGTGAGCCATTTGTCCAAACAATTTAAGCTCAATGGTAGTGACAAAAACAGTAGGTTGCCTTTGTAAACTACATTTTAAATCTGTCACAGTTCATTTCGCAACTTATTGAATTTTTTTTTAATGAAAATTGTAACATCATTCTATTGGCTTTGTAGGGTATATTTAATAGTTTCCTTTATCATGATGTTTTTTCTTAAAATTTTGTTGTTAATAACAAAACAATACTCACTTTTTTGGGATACGACCTTTATTCAATAAACGTTAAATTACTATTGTTATATATAGTACTGTCAGTTCCAAATAACAGCTACGAGGTGTCCAACTCACGTGACCATAATTTTTGAAAAACGGACATTTTTTTGCTGGATGAGACCTTTGTCCATGCGCATGCGTATACAATGAAAAGGCCACCGAATACTCATCTTTTAAAAAATGCTCTCCACAGTGGACATTTTTTAGAATTAACCCCATTTTCCTTTTCTGGATGTGGACGGATGAAAACAGACATGAGGAGATGTTGAAAATACTAACGTCCAAGCAAACTATCCTTAATAGGACTTAATAATGACTTAATCTTTTAGTAACTTCTACTAGTGAACAAAAATGGGAAAGTTAACCTTTTAAAACAAGAAATAATAACGTGACTAGTTTGAGCCAACCGGAAATTCCCAAAATAATTCAAACAGTAGTTTTCTGTTTCTTAGTTTTCTTCAGTCTAATATTGCGTTAAAAACCTTTCTGTTTGTCATTAAACATTCGTTAATATGTTTGTATTTGACATGGCGGTCTACAAATAACACTTTCTTTATTTTCAGTTTCAATAACATCAGAGAGAAATTAGCTGTTGCTGAAGCCGTTGCTGAACGTACTCTCATGCATCTTCAGGCCGCGATAACACGATAGCTCTTTCACACTCAATTGATCGCATCTACTCTATGTTATTTGGCTAAAATGTAATCCTTTCTTCTACTTGCTAGAATCTGTCAAACATATGCGCTTAAAGCACTTGGAACAATAGTAATACTTGGTAGGGTAGGTAGGAGTAAAATGTTTAAACAAAGTTCAAGAATGAAAAAAATAATGAGAGTCGAGTGAGTGAGTGAGTGATCTCGAGTGCCTCCAAAAGCTCATGGAAGGACTACGTCATCCATGAGTTAAAAATCAAGAGGGTCAAATTGACAACTAGACAGAGTTCAACAACCATGCCAAGTCAACGAAGAACTTGAAGGTTCATGTTAGAACATGTGACAAGGAAGCAAGGTCCACGGCGGGGACAAAATTGTCTGCCAAATAGTCGATCGTTACAAAGGACTTGATTGAAAAATTTAGGATTCAGTATATACATGAATTCTCTGTGGCCAATCCTGAGAAAAATACCAAAAACGATTCAAAAGTGCAACTTGTGGACGAGGATTTTTCGAAAACAAAGAGAGACTGAAATTTTTTATCATAAATACCAGTATTTTAAAAACTGAATAAATTCAGTAATTAGGAAAAAGCCGAAACTTTTCTTCAAAAAACGATTTTGTGTTGTGTTTCACAGTGCAAAAAAAATGAAAAGTCGAAAGTGCGAGAACCCAACCCACTACAGTTGACTCCTGATAACTCGAACCCTCGCTAACTCGAACCTCGCGCTAACTCGAACCAAAATCGATTTTCCCTGGATTTCCGTCATACATACACTGTAATTTTACCCTCGGTAACTCGAACCCTCGATAACACGAACCCCGCTAACTCGAACCAATTGTTTCCCCTCAGGTCATATTCTATATAATTTTACCCTCGATAACTCGAACCATGTTTTGAGCCCTTAAAAAGTCGGGCAAAAAGCCGTCTACTGGCGTCCAAAACATTGAATTTTGGATTTCCTGTTGACGAGTTGTAGGAGTATAGTTCACTAGTGGAGGCTGATGTTGATTGTCACAGGCGAACGTAAAGCAGCTTTTCTTCTCGAAACATAGTCTAACAGTAAACGCATGCTCTGTTTAGGCTATGTTTTGTTACGTTACCTTCTGATTTATAATCTAAAAGTATCTTTTAATTTTCACGTGACATTTCTACGATTAAATGTGATTAAAATGTTCACTGTGCAGTAAAAACTGTTTTTTACCTTCCTCTCGGCTATTTTCTTCGAACTCCCGATATCTCGAACTCCCGATAACTCGACCGTAGTTAAAACTGCCGTGGCACTTACTCAGTGGTATTTCAGATCATGTTGTTACGTTATGAGCACCTTAATTAGGAACGGTACCTAATGCACTTATCAATTGAAACCCCGACTCCCCCCCCCCCCCCCCCCC